TCCACCGTAGGTGGCTTGAACCTGTACTGTCGGTGATCCTTCAGCCGCGTCATGTTCTTCGTTCGGCGCTTGGCGCCTTCCTCTTGGTCGATGGACCGCTGTTGCTGCTCGTCGAGTGGGTTGGTAACCATTACCGTTGATGATACCTCAGGCGGATCACGTAACGCTGTTAGCGCATCTGCTGCACCACGTTCAGGGAACGGATTCGGTGCATGACGAGTGTCATCTTCACCCGTGAGGGTGGCTAAAGGGGACCCATCGGGTCCCACAAAGACGGTGTCACTTTCGTAATCAACCGCTTCTTCAAGGTCGTCCTCAATAAGGTCCCTAAGAGTCTGTGACTCACTGCCGGGAGGCGTCATGTTGTGTGCCGTGAACAAACCGTGAGGTTTTAAACGTTCGCTAAAGCACTACCTCTAAGAGGAAAAATGTCGAGTGACATTCTATGGGAACGTCAGTCTGGTGGGGGAGGGTGTAACGGGGTTACACGACGGTTGTAGCGTCTTTCCGGGAGTTTACGGTTAAACTCCCCTTGTATTGCATGTAATGCATTATGATACTTCTCTTTAGAGAGGTATTAAGTATAAGCGTTAAAGATACGGTATTCGGTAATACCGTATCTTATCGATTAGGATTCGATAATCGATAACGCTGTACTAAGTACATCATACACAGATGTTTAGACGATACGTCGTCCAATAGCAAAGTCTGCATATAATAATTACTATTATAGTAATTAATATAGTGTAGTGTACTTAGAGTAGGACTATTCATAAAATCTTAAAGCATAAATAAAATCAGTTCTCCTTTTGAGTTTAAGATCACAAGTCGTTCTGACTTGTTCTCTTGTGCACTTCGTGCGTTGGTTCTCTGAACCTCTAAGCTTCTAGCTTGTTCCTGCACCCTGTGCGTTGGTTCTCTGAACCTTAAGCTTATTGCTTGACTGACTAAAGTCTCCCTCCTAGTTCCTTAGAACAGGGTTACTTTCAGTCGTTTAATTAGTTCCTTAGAACTAAGTGGCTTTTAGCCTTAACTCTATTTAGTTCTCTCGAACTAAGAGGCTTCCAGCCGAAAGTCTTCCTCTGGCTAAAGAGCTGTGCAGCTCCGCTACAATACATCCGTGGATCCTCAAAAGGTCTTTGCTTCTCTTATCTTCGCACTGTTTCAATTGTGATCGAGTACCTACGAGCTACAACGCAATATCACGCTACCAGCTCTAGTAGCCAATTTGTAACAAGTATAGGAAAAACGTTTCAGCTAATGGGTGTAGAGTAGCGTAGACGATCAAAGGATGGCCCGGGCTGCATGCGATGGCGACACCAATGCTGTCGACAAGAGGGAGTAGCACTACAACTGATGTCCGGCCGTTCAGTTCGCAGAAATTCAACTGTGCAGTCGTACTAACGACCGAACCACAAGTGAGGCCATCACACTCACTCTTAGTACATTCACACGCTTGTGAACGCTCCAAGACGTTCATCAGATGGCCGTCTGATGAACAAGCGGCAGGCATCTTCACGGTTCGATGCTGCCAGCTGACCCATGGCTCGTACCTTCTGAGCCATGGTAATCCTAGGATGACATCAAATTTGTCGTCCAGGTTAAGTACGATGATATCATCATCGTACTTTTTGCCTTCTAACGTGTAGTGAATTCCCACTACACGTTTCTTTACATTTACGGATGCGCCAGTTGCAAGGCGCACCGTCATCCTCGTTGGAGGGGTCTCGCGCTCAACATATTTGAGCCTACGATCATCTAGCGATTGGCGTCGAACAAAGTTGCTCGAAGCCCCACAATCAACTAGGGCGCGAAGCGACATGTTCTTTGTCACTTCGATCTTCAAGGTGATGAGGGATACCTCATCACTGGGAGCGGCAACACACAGTGACTGTGTGTTGGGAGCAACCCTCGTCAAGACTATCTTGACGTTGCCGGATCAGTAGGGCGCTCCGCCCCTACTAACCCCGACCGTTTTTTATGGTACACCACGTTGTTGCGATTTCGCAGCAACGTGGGACCCACGTCTCTGGACCTTCTTGGAAGACGGACGATCGTCACTTCCAGTGTTACGAGACACTGGGCGTGGGGAACTACACTCATAAGCGTAGTGGCCCATCTTTTGACAGCGATTGCACTTTTAAAATCGCTTGTACCATGGAAAGCGAGGTCGCTCGCTCTCTACATAGGAGAGGTCCATTGTTTCTGGACCTCCGCCCTCCTGTCGCATCGGTGGACGATATGACCCCCAGTGGACGTGAGCCTGTTGTAGGCTAAAGTCCTCCTGTTCCGCTGCAGAGATCGCTCGGTCCAGCGATTCTAGTTCCAAGCGGAACAGGTGATTCTTGACAGGACCATCTGTCAGACCCTTGATGAACACAGCAAGCTGCGAGTGTTTATCGATTGGGTTCAGCACGATACAACTAACGAGATGTCGTACGTGTTGAGCGTAAGCGTGTATATCACGCTTACCCTGTTTCAAATCCAGGAGCTCAGCCCGAGCCCTGAATTCGGCGTGAGGCGGTTCAAACGTGTGTTTGAGCCGCGCCTTGAAGACGTTATACGTTGGGAAAACGTATGGGTCGTGCAGTTTGAGCCCTAAGGCCCAAGCTTTGGCAAGTCCTGCCAAGTTCGACATGGCGAACTTGACCTTCATCGTATCTTCATCGATGCGACGAGCCTTAATGGCATCGTCGAGTTCGATGAACCATCTTAACAAGGAGTCGCTTTCAACTACCTTGTACTTGGAGACATCAATCTTCAAGGACTCGGGTCGACGTGTATAAGTCGACCCGGCAGCAACAGCACTAGCCTGCTGTTGTCTCAATAGTTCAGACTGTTGATCACCCTGCTGCATCAACAAGTCAGCTTGTTCAGCGCCTTGTTCTCTCAACAGGCCAACCTGTTGAGAACCTTGCTCCTGTAGCAAGGTAAGTTTCTCTACACCTTGGTCAAGTTCATGTTGTATGAACTTGGCGATGGTTGCATGTTGGTCGTCTCCGCTAAGAGAGAGCAACATGGCACCAACGGCAGGGTTGCCGATGGTTTCAGCCACACGCTGAACCGCATTCCATTCGAGGTCACTCAAATGGCGGAAATCATCACGCAACGCGTGATGACGTTCATCACCCGCTGATTCCATAGCGGATGGTGCGGTGGTCGCTGAACGGGCCACGAAGTGCTACCAGGTGTAATGGGGAACCCTCCGACTATACTGATAACAGTATAGTCTACCTTCACTGAAGACAGTGAAAGCAGGTGCCTCAATTACCTCACGTACACGAGAGCAGAGGAAGTAAATCAGCTAAACACACGCTTAGTTGAGAAGGAAAAGAAAACTGTATTTAATATAGTTGACTATCTAATAAAACTAATCTGTTATAACCTATGTTAACTATATTAAACTACAACTATGTATGTTGACAACTTGCCCTCCACTCATTGCGCGCGTCCATCTGCTATTGGTCAGCGCGTTGGTTGATATGATGGCCCATACCAACCAATGATAGGGCATCTTCAACTTCAAGGAGAATTAGGGACAACATTATAGGAAAAGATAATATTGTCAAATATTATTAGTTATAATTATATTTTTGTTGACACTTCATATAAGTGTCAATATTATGTAACGGGCTCACCCCGTTACAATAAGGGCCTCAAGTCGACCATTGAGCACCTCCGGGCCTTGGGCCAAAAGAATTTCGATTTGATCGGGCTTAACGAACGCAGGCAATTTATCTAGTGCGAGTCGTTGCGCCTCCGAGAGGTGATTTTGACTCTCCATCCTCACAGAGGGTCAGTCGTAAAGACTCAGGTGTAGGATTGACTACAAGTGCTACCAAGTGTATCGGAGCTGCACAGCTCTTTAGCCAGTGGAAGACTATTAGGCTGGAAGCCTCTAAGCTTTATAAAACTAATTAAAGTTGACGGCTAATACCCACTTAATTATAAGGAATTTATTAACGACTTAAAGTCGCCCTGTTCAAAGGAACGAGGAAAGAGACTTTGGTCAGCAAGCAATAAGCTTAAGGTTCAGAGAACCAACGCACAGAGTGCAAGAATAAGCTAGAAGATTAAAGGTTCAGAAAGCCAACGCATGAAGTGCACGAAGTGCACAAGAGAACAAGTCAGAACGACTTGCGATCTTAAACTCAAAATGAGAACTGATTTTATTTATGCATAGAGATTTTATGAATAATCCTACTCTAAGTACCCTACACTAGATAAATCACTATAACAGTAATTATAATATGCAGACTTTGTTATTGGACGATGTATCGTCTAAACATCTGGGTATGATGTACTTAGTACAGCGTTCTCGATTATCGAATCCTAATCGATAGGATACGGTATTTGCGAATACCGTATCTTTAACGCTTATACTTAATACCTCTCTAAGAGAAGTATCAAGAATACATTATATGCAATATAGAAACTTCAACCGTAAACTTTCGGGATGATGTTCCAATCGTCGTGTAACCCCGTTACATTATCTATATTGTGATTTATCTTCACTTACACGCACGCTCAACGTCATCTCCATCAATGTGAATATACACACATACGCAAGGGTGTGTCACATGGTGTTTCTTACCCAAGCGACAGGCTTGAGTACTTACGTATATTTTAGACTTCCCGTATAAGTATTGCATACTTAACGAATACATAATCAGATTCAGAAAACTTAACAGAACATCGGAATAAAAGAACCATATAAAAATATAGTGCTAAAAGCTTCTACTTGAAGCGATTGCCTTACTTCAGAAGCTTTACGAGCTGAAAATATCGAGATAAATGATATACAATGAAATAGGTGTTTTATAGGCTTGCATAGTTTATGCCAGCAGCTTGACGGTGGTGGGATTCCTACAAGTCGATGTCTTGATTCGGAGCCACGATTACAGCTACAGGCCACTCGTCCAATGTTTTCGATTACTTCCGCGGGCGTCATCTCCTTCAATTCGTATACTGTAGCCGGCTCTCAGGGTTTTACTTCCAACTTACAATAGGTTCTGCATGCGCTGAATGATCCGCAGTAGCTCCATAGCGCTAGGTCGTACGTCCGGATCCGAGTCGAGACAACGGTCCACCAGCTCCTTCACAAGAGCCGGGCATTCCGGTGAGAACGTCGGCCTCATGTTTCTTCGGATCACCATCTGCACGATCTTCATGCTCTGTAGTTTCTTGCCTGATCTGTCACGCTTGTCTGAGTACGGCACCGCATGCGTATCCAGCTCCGACAAGACAATACCAAAGGAGAAGATATCGGCCTTTTCCGTGTACTTTTTGCCCATAAGCACCTCGGGTGCTGTCCAGTATATTGTGCCCACCCCTGCCGTCATCGTATCTTCTACAGCTCGTTCTCGACTGATTCCAAAATCACTGAGCTTTGCACGGAACGAGTCATCCAAAAGAATATTCTTCGACTTGAGATCACGATGGATCACTTTAGGTGACAAACCGTGCAAGTATCCAAGTGCATCGGCTACATCTTCTGAAAGAAAAATCTTGTGGTCACGCCAGTTCAATTGGCCCTGTCGGCGTTTAAGGAAGCCATGCAGGTCACCTTTGCCCATGTACTCCGTCACAGCACACACATCTTGCATAGAACTCCAGGATATGCCCACAAACTCAACAATTTTAGGGTGTGAGAAGGAAGCCATGAGTTTAATCTCTGCTCCAAAACACTCAATCTCCCTTACATCGTTCTTCTTTTCGTTCAAAATTCTCTTGACAGCCACTTGTCGGTTTTCCAATTGAGCAAGCCACACTTCACCAAAGGCCCCTTTACTCAGTATTCGAGTAAAATAGAGCGAAGAGTATGGGATACGACTTCTACTAAGTGTCGGGTCTGCCTGGAACTGTTCAAGTACTCGATTGGCCACTTCTCGAGACTTGTCCGTGATCTCCAAGTCACGGTCATTGGCCGAGTTGCCCGAGCCTCCACTCTGTGGTTTTGATACCAGTTCAAGACTGCCGTGTATAGCAAGGCGATCATGTAATTGTTGCTGAGGATGTGCATGCCTTTGCTCTGGATGCTGTGGTTGGTACATCTGTGGTCGCGACCCATTTCGCGGTCGCTGGGGTTGTGCACCACTCGTCATTCTATCAGGCCCACTTGACACTCTATCAGGCCCACTTAACATTCTATCTGAGCCATTCGACACTCTATCTGAACCACTCGACATTCTACGCGGAGCGCCGTGCGACATTCTGTTCGGACCGCTCGACACTCTGTCAGGTCCACTCGACACTCTGGTAGGGCCACTTGACACTCTGTTAGGGTCACTTGACACTCGCGGTCGGGGATTAGATGGTCGTCGCTCACGTCGTCCACTGTGATGACCATTTCCATGAGTATGACGATCTCCCCCTAATTCCACCATCCCGTCAACGTCGTACCCGTGATGGTGCGCCAACGCGGCGTGATGCGGCTGCCCAGAGGCCGTAGGGATCGTAATTGTTTCGGCAAAGTTCTGATGACCGCGTTTGCGACGACTTGCGCAGGCGCCACACGTGAGGAAGGCTACTAAGCCCGTCATCGGTCCTATGGCAATAGACTCAACCGATCTGATGCTCGAATGACAGACTACTTTGACTGCTACACAGATGTGCACTGACTACTTTTCGCGTAAAATGGATTGCAAACAATTATAATTTGTGACAATTAATTGTGCTTGCTTATCGTAGTAGGCCAGTCGAATGCATACAAACCTGTAGTAATTGATAAATAGGAGGAGTTTATATGACCAGGTATTATGATCTCACATGATATACCGTAACCCCTCGTGTAGGTAGTGAAAGAGCTAGTACTACCACTCCAAAACCGGTTACTTGTAAAAAACTGGTCAGTATGTCGATATTTATCCCCTGTCACAAACATACAATACCACTGGTATTATGCTCATGACGACTATTCTTTAAAGACAAATTGATATTAATAAAAAATCCAGTGACAAAATAAACAGCTCTCGTGTGAATCTGAATCTATATACTGTACTACCTGCAAAAACTTAAATAGCCGTAGACAAGTAAGAGCCATCATCATTCTAACAATGGCCTCCTTCTTGCTCTTGGCGCGCAATTACGCATCCCAATGCGTTTTAATGCTGCATATCATCCTGAATATTATGCAGAATATTGAGCAGCTCCGGTGCCGATGGACGTTTGTCCGGATTAGCGTCCAAACAGCGGCCGGCAAGCGCCTTAACTTGCTTCGGGCAATCCTCTAAGAACGACGGTCGGAGGCCCTGGCGAATCACCAATTGAATGATTTTCATACTCTGGAGCTCCTTACCAGCACTATCACGCTTGTCCGAGTACGGCTCTTCGCACGTGTCCATTTCTGCCATGACAATGCCGAAAGAGTATATATCAGCCTTCTCGGTGTACTTCTTGCCCATGAGTACCTCAGGAGCAGTCCAATAGATAGTGCCAACGCCTGCCGTCATTGTCTCCTCTGCAGAGCGCTTCCGGCTAATGCCAAAGTCGCTCAGCTTTGCACGGTACTTGTTGTCTAGTAGAATGTTCTTCGACTTGAGATCACGATGAATGATTTTTGGTGACAGCGAGTGAAGGTACACCAGAGCTTCGGCAATGTCCCTGGCCAACCACATCTTATGGTCGGGCCAGTTCAACTTGCCCTTGCGACGCTTCAAGTAGTCGTACAAATCGCCCTTGGCCATGTACTCTGTTACTGCACACAGATCCTGCTTGTCACTCCATGAGACACCAATAAACCCGACAATCTTCGGGTGCTTGAACAAAGCCAGAAGCTTGATTTCCTCTCCAAAACACTCAATCTCCTTCACGTCGTGCCTTTTTTCATCCAAAATTTTCTTGACGGCCACCTGAGTGTTTTCCAGCTGGGCTAGCCACACCTCTCCGAAAGCACCTTTTGAGATTGCACGTGTAAAGTAGAGCGAGTCGTACGGAATCCAGCTTTCTTCAAATTCAGGATCTCTTGCCAGCTCCGCTAGTACCTTTCTTACTGTCTCTTGTGTGCGTGCGATTACTGCCGGGTCCGTTCGTCTACCCTGTAATTCTTCCATACTGAACTTCATTTGGCTCTGCTGGAGCTCCACCATCAAAAGACCAGGTCCTTGATCCTCGTCTGGCTCTAACATTGGGATCTCAGGGGGAGGTGGAGGCGGTGGTGGAAATGAATCCCCCGGCTCATAGTGATTCTGGTACGGAGGTTGGTACTGAGGATGGTGTTGATGTTGATGCTGGTGTTCGTACTGAGGTTGGTGCTGGTACTGAGGCTTTTGTTGTTGCTGTCGGGTGTGAGTCGGTGCTCCATTAGCTGGCCGCTGAGGAGGACGTTCTGTCCTCGAGTGATGGGACTCAGAGCGTCCTGTTTTCTTGTCCCTTGAATGTTTACCGTATGGAGAGTTCATCCGTCGATCGTTATCGTTTAAAGTCCCATGACTGATGCCAGAACGCACAGTAGTGGACGGAAGATTATAACATCGTTCCTTCGGACGTTTGCGATTCTGTTGACGTTTCCAAACAAAAAAGGCGATAATGCAGGCCAACCCGACGATCACGAAGATGACAATGAAAATGACAGTAGAATCACCGCTTGTTGACGTTGTATCTACTGCAGTAACAGCAGTAGGGCGCATAATGATCAAAGGTAGAACAAGGAAAAGGTTCCCTACACTTTTAAGTTGAAACATTGTTGTACTATAGAAATTCCCTACGTGAATTTCTAAAGGGTTACACTATCTAATTTCAGGTATAACAGAGCCCGTCGATCGAGAAATGAGAGGCAAAAGCGTGGACTCGTATTGGGTTTAGGGGAGACAACTAATTTGAATTGAGTATGTTGCGCTCGCTCTTTTGTGGTTTTGGTGGCAAACATAAAGGAAGGACATGTGTACGATCTCAAATGGGTTTTGATTGTATGAATGTTTCTTACTTCTTCAAGGGTTCAAGGAATTGTAAATCGACATTCGTGATGTCAACGCTCCAATGACCGTGTACATGTAATTTTGGTATTGGTCAATGGGTCGTTTTGACTTGTCGTATCTGCCTTAACGACGCGGCTCCTGTCATGTCAGTTATTTAATCAGCTGGTATATCGATTATGGAGACAAAAGATCTACCCGCGTGAAGTCAATATGGACCTCCATAAGAACGTTCTCAAGTATTTTAGCTTGAAACACTTGTCGCCATCAATTGCTACTAAAGATTAGGTTAAACTATAGTTGCTCAAACAGGTACTTGTTACGTATACAGTTCAGAAATGGCTACATGTTGAAGCTATTTTTTGGAGCTGGTGTAGACCACACCATCCCTACCACGCAAATAATATTCTAAGCAACGTCACAAGTCTCTCCAAAGGTGAGAGGAACTCTCTCCAAGTTTTCGTTTCATTCTTGCATCAACAACATCAGGTATTGAAATTCTACAATCGTGATGATGGAGAACGGTATCTGGGCTTTTTACTATCTACAGGGTGAAGATGGAGAAGATCGTGCGCATCCAAACGCTTTTCGACTAGCGGACGTCTCCCCAGGCACTGACGTGACACTTGCGGATGTGTTGCGATGCTTTCCGCTGCACAATCCAGCGGCTTTTCACTTCCGATTTCGACTTAATAACAGTAAAAACAATACGTTTTATTGGCTGGACGTGACGCAGCCATTGCAGAAGGTGCCACTGGTCGGTGGTCGTGTCATCTGTAAGCTCCTACGACTTGAACGGCCATCGAAACCCGGTCTGGTTTTCCGACGTCGACCTGTGCTCAAGTGGGCAAGTGGTAGCCAACCACCTAAACGTCAGGGCAATTCTAGTGGACTTGGTAATAGTTCGAGCAGTTTGCAGTCGGTAAAGACTATGCAGCCATTGGAAAGCAGCAAGTTTCATCGATCGTCGTCCTTCCCGGCGTTCGAGCAGGGTCGACCGCTCAAGTACTCGGATCGAGCATCAGAACGTGGTAATGGAGCAGAGAATCGGCATAGTAATGCATCAAGTCGTGCTTCTTCTACATCTGGAGAGAAAAAGTCAATACGATTAGGATCCAAGACGGTGACTCCAGCTCAAGGAAATCTTGAAGATTTTTTGTCAGGCAACAGTCAACAGACACACAAGAAAGATGTGAATCTAATGAGTGATAGCGGTTGGACTGACGCACCAGCTACGCTTCATGCCAACTCCAATTTTCTGAACGCAATGGACCCATTGGCGGCTCGTACTGTGCCGGCTGCGCAAGTTTCACCTTCCGAGGCTGTATACAAAGATCCGCCTAAGTTTGACGACGATAACGGACAGACTATAGGTCCCGTTACCATGGCGGAGATGGAGGCCCACTCCAAGTCTACGTCGGACGGATCTAACGTGTACAATCCGAATCTAGTGGATAAGTCGACAAAGAGCGAAGGCGTACGTCGTGCAATGGAAGAGCGTGAGCGGCAGGTGCAACGTGATGTGGAACGGGCTCGTGAAGATTTGCGCACGCGTGAAGAAGCCGTGCGCAATATGACTGCCATGAAAGATAATGCAAACGCTGTAATTGGCCCGAGATTGAAGGGTTGGGCGGAAGATAATGGTCGGGTGAAGAACATCCGCACGCTGTTGTCTACAATGCACCAGGTCATGTGGGAAGACTGTAAATGGTCCGAGGTGAACATGGGCAAGCTCATTCAGCCCAACGATGTGAAAAAGTATTACCGCAAGGCCATGATCGTCGTACATCCAGACAAATCCGGTGGACGCAGCGCGGAGCAGTTGCTGATCGCAGAGCGCGTTTTTGCAGCCCTTAACAATGCATGGGAAGAATTTCAGAAAGCTAATTCATGCTAGAAAAATGACCTCGCAAGAAAAGTTATAGCGAATGCAATAAGGTGAGGCAGCTGAAGCTTCGTACAGCAAGTACACACCAAATCCAATGAATAACAAAATGCGCGTCAGATGTATAGGCACGTGAACTTGCCTTTTATTGTTCTCATACGTTAGTCCGCAGAGAGAAGATGCAGCGTGGGCGACATGGCATGCCACCTTGGCTCTTAAAACATGGTGTGAACGTCGCACTAGACGTCAAGCTGCTGATGGCAACTTTTAATCTCAATGCAGTTGCCTACATTTTCTTGATTACAGCATGATTTTGCCAATACTCGACCGCCTTCATGTACTCATCACGGTTAATGGGCACACCCGAGCCGCCCTGAGACTTACCAATAGCATTCCGCATCATAGTAATAGGTTTCATCGGCAGTTCATAGTCCTCGTCCTGTGCCTTGATCGCCACAATGCCCCAGGGCGAGTCCATGTGCGACGGATCCGCCGGCACCTCCACAGCCTCATTCTCTTTCATGATCTGTTCACGGCTGTACAGGATAATGTCCAGGTACTCAGCAACCTTCGGGGTCACACTGTGACTCGGGAACCAACGGGTTAATCTGTACCACCATCCCAATTCTCAGTTCACTATCCCTCAACCGTTTGCAATGCAAAGAGTTTGGCAAACTACGACGTACACTGGTAGTTCATATTCCGTACGAGCCTCATAGTCCGACATAAGCATGCTTGAATTAGCCTGTGTAATAGGCACCATATTAAGGCGAGCACGAGTAAAGTTCTTGATGAACAGGTGTTTGCAGAATGGCGCATAGCTGTCAAAAAAAAAAGAGAGAGCAAAAACACATTTCCAGCAACGTCAATTCCACGAACTAGCTCCAACTTTTGTATCATGACAGCTCACAGTACCCATCAACCAATTGCTTCGAGTTCTTCTCGTAAATCTCATTCACTTTCTTGATAAACTCCGTCTTGTTAAAGTCAAGTTGTGTACCAGAGTACGTTTTGTCGTCAAATTGACGCTTTGCAAAGCCATCTACACGAGCCAATCAATATCAAGTACGTTACCTATGAGTACATGGTAATTAGCTAGTAAAAATTACACATATAGACACAGACCAAGCACAATCTCGCCGTGTTCCGTTGATTGAGCGGCTTCAGTGGCTTGAGTCGCTGCTTTTTCCGTCTTTTTCGTTGCACCACCGAGCATATTAATGAATCCACGTGTCTGCGAGCAGCGAGTCAGTGGGACCGTCATCCGCAGTCGTGTGAGCAGCATGTTAGCGAAGGACTTTTTTATAGGCTGGAAGTGATAGAAACGGGACGAATGGACCTGAGGCTTTCGAGGGATCTTGGATAATGAGGCGATTTGATTTGTAACGGCTGACAGAGCAGCGTTCTGATTGGTAGAAAACGGATGGAAGCGACGCAACAAGACAATACAGAGGTTTGTGGCGGTCAAGTACTGTATATGTGACGGGACACACGATACTTGATTTTTGTATGTCGTAAAAGTACGCAGTCATCGAGATATTAACTTAGTGCGGGAGATTATTCGATGACGCGGCCGACGTGGCGTCCAAAACAGCTTCAACCAGCCGTGTCAATCGCTCCAATTGCTGCTGCTGTTGCCATAATTGCCCCTCCATTCGATGCTTGTCACATACATGCACATGAATCCAATTGTTAATAGAATCTTTGCATTCCATACGTTTGCAAAGCTTACCTGGCCTTTTGTAATGGCCTCCAGTCTCTGATGCATCGCCAAGGCAGCCCCAACGTGTGGCGTCGATTGACTGTCACATGATTTCACGGACATTGGCGTGTGTGTAGCTGATACTGGGTGATCGTGCTCCGTATGATGCTCATGGTATTTTTCCTCGTCACTGAAGTTGCCCACGAATAGCGGACTATCGCAGGATCTGTCGTCACGACCAACAGCCATGCTGTACATCTCGGCCTCTTCTTCGTGCTGCTTCTCCAGCATCACCTCTATGAAACTGCTCCCTAACACGGCCCCAGGAATTGTAAATAACACGATACCCCATAATGCAAGAGAAGCCCCGACCAAACGGCCCATGCCGGTGATGGGGACTATGTCGCCGTAACCGAGCGACGTGATTGTCTCAACCGACCACCATAGCGAGACACTAAAGGTCGAGAAAACATTTGGCTGTGCCAAATGCTCAATGAAAAAGATCACCAAGGATGAGGTGAGTATCACCACTGCCGTGAGATATGTCAAGACAAGAAATTCTTCCTTCTTGCGCGCGAAAATCACTCGTAGATTCTTCATCGCATTGTACATGCGTTCAAGTCGCAAGAACGACACGATCCGCAAAAGTCGCAGACTTCGTAAGGTCAATGCTTTGTCATGATGGGCACTGCAGCAGGATTCATAAACAAAGATTAGTCAAGACACACAGTGACTACACAATACTTTACTGATCTATTCAACGTACTCATATTCCATTCCAAGTTCCAAATAGAAGGGAATCAATGCCATCAAATCAATCAGCGACAGTGGTCGACTCATCCATTTCAGCCTACAAAACATTCCGAAAAACAGCCACATTGTCACTTGTGACACGACACCATTTTTTCATTGCAATACAACTGAGAACTCTACTCTTACCGTCCAATGATTGCTCCATTACTAAACCGATCATCTTCAACACACGACCACAATCGTAGCATATATTCAATCGAAAAGATGATGGTTGATACTAGTAAAAAAATATCCGTCCAATCATTGACAACTGGTTTTGGCCCTAAAGAAGATCCAGTTGTATCAGCAATGACTACTGCAGAAGTCTCTGAGATGGCCACTATTACGTTCAGTAAAATAAGCGTCAAGATGCTCAATTCCAGTACGTAAGACGCATATTGCAGACCCGTATGATGCTGCACCGATGAACGGAACCGCAGAACAGTCCAAATATCCTGACGGACTGTCGTATGACGTCTGGCTGCTATGCAACGCCATTGTGATAATGATGGAGAAGATAAAAGTGTCGAGTTTTCGTTATACGAAGGACTTCGCTGCTCACGCGGCGTCTTATTCATTGTATGACGGAATTACAAATAGTGCCTGATCTCTACGTCGTGTTTATGTTCACTGGGCGGCGGTTTTTTTCACTCACGCAATGATATAATTATACGCTTTTTTTTGCATCATGGTTTTTTATTACGTACGAAGAATTATATTTGACGCAAAAAAAACTGCAAACCTCCGAATAGTAATGTCACTCACTGTTTTGGATAGTAAATGTGTGGTGTCTTAAAAATCGATATTCTAAAAAATATAACGGATTCGACGGGGATAGGACAGAAAACCATAATGGATGAAAGGATAAAAGCCACTTTCAACGCCGTCATCTCACAAAGTTCTTCGTTCTGTGAGTGACCGCTTCCTCTTCTTCCTTTTTCTTATTAATCTATAGATTATCCACTGACATGTACCACTTTCTCTCCTTGTGCTATATATCGATTTTCTTTCGTCGTAACGTCATGGTTTTGATGTAATTGTTGTGCCTTATTTCAGATCATGTCAATGGCCGCTCGCCTCCGTTACTTTATTAACAGCCCTACAGGACCCAAGACGACGCACTTTTGGGGACCAGTTGCCAATTGGGGCTTTGTGCTTGCTGTACGTGACATCATTTCGATCCCTCATTTGATAGTAAGCAGCTAAATGATGCATTGACTCATCTGTGGTGCTGCTACTGCTGGTGTTTAGGCGATGGCGGACATGAAGAAACCCGCTGATGTGATTTCCATCAATATGACGTCGGGTACGTGCAAGCGGCTTGCTGTTTCAGCTGTTTTATCTCAGTAAAGTATTGATTATTGTCTGAATGCAGCTCTATCGATCTACAGTCTGATCTTCATGCGGTTCGCATGGATGGTCAAGCCTCGTAACTACCTCCTCCTTGCGTGTCACGCCTCCAATGAAACGGCGCAGCTGTACCAACTACAGCGTGGCTTACGCTTCCGGGCTAGTAAGAAGGCTGAAGAGAAGCAGATGTAAGCTATTTTGGTTCTCCTTATTCAACGCCGGACATGCATAAGAGCTGTCGGCCACCTACATTCGTCGGCTTCGCTTCTCGGACAGTAACTCACGCACTGCTAGCGTGGTATGTTTGGCATCAACAAGAGCTTCCTTGGTAAGCTTGCTGATACTAGAGAAATGATACTGACAAAGGATAAGTGCCTGCATGTCCATCGTTGTATTTCAATCCTTCTTTTCACATTCGGAAGACGCCAAACTTTGTTTCCTGGGGCTTCTCATTCAGTGCAGCGCTAAGACTTAGTCCCAGCACCTTGCGAGTGTCCTTGGGATCGATGATGCCGTCATCCCAGAGACGAGCTGTCGAATAATACGCCGAACTCTCGACCTCGTACTTGTCGAGAATAGGTTGCTTGAACGCTGCTTCTTCCTCAGCAGACCAAGTCTCTGAGCGACGTTCGTAGTTATCACGCTGCACTTGAGCAAGCACACCCGCCGCCTGCTCGCCACCCATGACAGAAATGCGAGCGTTTGGCCACATGTACAAGAAGCGAGGCGAAAATGCACGACCACACATGCCATAGTTGCCTGCACCGTAAGAGCCGCCAATGATGCACGTGATCTTGGGCACCTTAGCATTAGAAACGGCCATGACCATTTTAGCGCCGTCCTTTGCGATGCCACCGTGCTCAGCCTTCTTGCCAACCATAAAGCCCGTGATATTTTGGAGAAACAGCAGAGGGATCCCGCGCTGGCTGCATAGCTCGATAAAGTGCGTCGCCTTGACAGATGACTCGGAGAAAAGAATGCCATTGTTGGCAATAATCCCGACAGGGTTTCCATACAGACGTGCAAAGCCCGTGACGATCGTCGGTCCATACTCCTTCTTGAACTCATCAAAACGACTGCCGTCTACAATACGCGCAATCACCTTCCTCACATCAAAAGACTTGCGAGAGTCTACCGGAATGACTCCTCCTAGTTCTTCAGGAGAATAAAGTGGCTCCTCGCTCATCGTCTGCGTAACATTAGGTTGTTTGATATAGTTCAAGTTACTCACAATACGTCGTGTGATATCCAATGCGTGAGCATCATTGTTCGCATAATGATCCGTCACACCAGACGTACGACAATGAATATCTGCACCGCCCAATTCTTCTGGCGTAATTACTTCTCCAGTCGCTGCTTTTACTAATGGAGGTCCTCCTAGAAACACTGTGCCATTTCCCTTTACAATAACACTCTCGTCCGACATGGCCGGTACATAAGCACCTCCAGCGGTACAGCTGCCCATGACCACAGCAATCTGAGGAATGCCCATAGCAGACATAGTAGCCTGATTATAAAACTCTCTTCCAAAATGGTCACGATCTGGAAAGATCTCAGCTTGCAGCGGCAAAAAGGCACCACCCGAGTCCACGAGATAAATACAAGGAAGACGGTTTTCCTGTGCAATCTCCTGGGCCCGTAAATGTTTCTTGACAGTCAAAGGGAAATAAGTGCCACCTTTGACTGTTGCATCATTTCCCAGTATCATGCATTCAATGCCACTAACGTGGCCAATGCCTGTAACAATCCCAGCACTTGGTACATCTCCTCCGTACATGTCATAGGCAGCCAATGGCGACAGCTCAAGGAATGGGGAACCAGGATCCAATAATGAGTCAATCCGATCCCAAACAGCCATTTTACCACGTGCTTCATGACGTGCACGAGCATTCTCTCCGCCGCCTCGACGTGCTGTAGCCATACGATCATGTAACTCGGCTGTAAGTTGTGCCATATGCGCTTGTGACTCTTGAAACTGCCTTGACTTGGTCTTGAGGGAACCATCGAGAATATTACAAAAGGAGGGGAGTGGACCTGCTTTAGAAACGAAGCTACGACGGAATAGAAGGGGTGAATTGCTTCGTAAAGAATGCATTTGTCTACGAGTTGAAGTTTTCGAAAATGACCTTGAAGTTCAAATGTGAGGTTCATCTAATCTGAAGATTGACGTTTTTGAGTGCACCACACAACATGCCATTTGACAGTTTTTCCGAAAATACAAATGCGACAATTATTCAAGCCATATGATATGGATACAACTATCACGACAACTACCATACATTTTACCTAGCACCTTCCTGGATTACTACTACCTTCATGACGATCGATCCATCCTGTCCACCTTATTGCAGTCATCTGAATAGTTGTTCTGACGACTGCATCACAAGCCCCACATATTGATACTTCTTGATAAATAAATCTCACTCTTCTCGCGACCTTGACTTCTTTTCCTCTCTCACCACTCGTTCGGATTCTCTCCAGTATCTGTCTGCATGGCCATCGTCAAAGCCATCGTCTGGTCTCGTTGTATCTGCTCATAGTGTAACATTGCCGCGTACTGATCCTCTCCCGACGCCAACTCGAGCGCCAACATTAAGTCCGAATCGAATTCTGTTGCGAGTCGGATTCCACCACGCAGAATGGACGGGAACCCAAGCGGTAAAGCTGTCGGAAACAAATCAGCATACACAAATTGACGCAATGGAGTCTGCTTTACAACGATCGCAGCCGAGTACAACTCGGCCGACCTTTTAATGTCCTCGTCCGTATAATTCGATGCGTCGCGCTTGTCCAGGTACTCGTAGATCCGTGCCACTAGATCAGTTGCATACGAGCCCAGATCTTCCACTTCATTCGACGTAAGTTGCCACAATTCGTCGCCTTCCGAGCAATCAAATTTAGCTCGACAGATTGGACATGTCTGACTCTGTGTACTCCAATGCTGGAAACAATTAAGACAAAAACTATGAGCACATGGTAGTGCAACCTGTTTCTTCTTGTCCATGCAAATTTGGCACTCGGTCTCGTCAAAGTCCGTGTCTTCAGTCCTTTGTATGAACATCCCAAGACATATCAATCATTAGCTCCAAACTACCAGCTGCTTTATTTTATCGTGTTCTAGCTCACCTTGGAATCTTCTCAGGGAAATATACAGTGTGTGTGGCACACGCTTTAATGTCGGACAGGAAGCAATAAATGTAATAGAACTGCGTGACCGTTAAAGTCTTGGCTTGACCAATGGTTTCCAATCTCTCAGTTCCATGCAGACAAAGCTGCAATTCCACAGGCCGTCGCATCTTGCGTACCTCAATGGCTACATTGTCACGGATTCTCCAAACATATGGCAACAACTCAGCTGATATCTTCGGATTAATTACGATACGAAACGATAGGTAGCAATTCTTAGGTGTCGCACACAGTTGGGCCCTAAAAGAAGAGCACGTGTTAGATTTGTAATTACATCAAAAAGAGTACTTCGAGCTGAACTTCAATATGGACAAAAACTATACCATTCGTTAACGTTTTTCAAGTGTGTACCAAAGTCCATGAACGTGCCCATGGTTTGACAAATTCGTTTCTTCATCTTGTCTTCTTGTATGGATGAAGTCTGTCCCATACTATTTTTGTGTCTGCTAGTTCCTGCTTACCAATAGCTCAATGTCGTTTTTTAGTATTGCTACAACAAATATATATATGACCAAATAGCAGCTTGTGTATGACGAAGAAAATGCCTAACTGACTGACCTCTCTCCCTTCTCTTCCGAAAAGATGACCGTATTTCTGAAAAAAGTGCTTTTGTCGTCTCTACGGATGGTTTTGGTCATTGCACAAGCTGCGGAGTTTAATTTGGTCCTTTGCAGCGAAGCTTATCGAGAATAAATTGATAGAGAAATGGTGGTAATTAGGGTAGATTATTTGTACCCCTGGTACATCTGACAGCAATAAATGGGAAAGAGAACGTGCACACACACGCTCTTCATGCCAATCGACACCTACGTCGTAGTGCCTTGGCCCAATCACCGACGTTCTTGCCTATGATGGATGGCAACACGCTGGTCACGATACGACACAGCCTTGTTAAATTTTTAAGCTGCAAAGTCACGACACGCAGGACGGGAATAGCTTCCGCTAACCAGCAGATGAACAAAACATGGAGCGACATTCTTAATACCTCATGTATTTCGCTGTGCGTAGGAAGATGAAGCCCGTCAATTTTTTCGTGTATCTTGCTGTCTTCTGTCCTCAATACGACAGCGGCTAAAGCACATCGTACTCGGACGAGCAACAGTACAACTGGGCATGAATCCTGCTACTCTTTTCCGCTAGTGCTCGTATGTCTAGTAACGTGCTGCTAATTGGGCCGTGACAATCAAGAGTCTGCGTACCATGTACATCTTCTATCTTCTATACCGCATCGTGTAATGGGCTGCAGGGCCAACAACGAGCACGGCTTTGAATGTTTGTTACTTATCCATGTCTGTGACGCCGTACATCTTGTCACAAAACAACGTCGTACTCATAGTGACTATCGCCTTATTGTGAATAAGATCATCTTAAGCATGTTATAAGACAGTAAAACTGAAAGACAAAGCAGAAAACAGTGTAGCCATGTCAGCTTCAAGTTTATGTAACCTCCACAACACTTTTCAATCGCATAATCAATCAAGTCTCCCATCATAAACCCATCATACAGAATAATATACACCAGTACGTGATACAAAAGAGGTAGAGTAGGTCTTCCCTCTTTAGCAGCATGAGTAGCGCCAATGGACAGACGATCACCGTATGTGGCAATGTTTTTCGGTACATGAGACAACTTTCATCTCTTTCTCGTTGAAATCTAGCTCAAAAACGCCTTCCTTAACACTAAATCTTGCTATAAATGACGATCTTGTTGGTGCAGCTTGGTCGAAACGATTGGACGAGGCTCCTACGGCACCGTACGACGATCAAGAGCAATTGGATACATTAGTCGCAAAGACACTGATTTTCTATACGTTTTTTCGGTGTTTGTAGGTCCACAAGGCCATCAATTTGTCGTCTGGAGCAGCTGTAGCCGTCAAAATGATTGGGAAGGACAAATTACGACGGCCACATGAACGTCAAAGCATTGAAAAAGAAATTGAGACCATGCGCGTAGCTGTGGAGCAATTTGAAAATGGTCACCCACATATTGTACGGCTGCTGTGCACCAAAGAGTCACAGCATCACATTTTTATCGTGCAGGTTTGGAGAGATGAGAGAGAGATGAGAAGAGAAGAGAGAAGAGAAGACAGAGTGTTGTGCTGATTAAACGTGCATTTTATTGTGTTGTAGGAATATTGTGCTGGTGGAGATATTGCACAACTGATGAAGTTAAACAACGGACTGGTGGAGGAGCAGGCTCGGCTGTATATGTCGCAATTAGGTACGTGTAGGTGAAAAACGTCGGCTTGCGATTGCAATAAGAGAGATTGATGTTTTATTGTTTGTTTGTAGCGTCGGGGTTGCAGTTTCTTCGCTCGCAGAATGTGGTGCATCGTGATTTGAAACCTGCCAACTTGCTGCTTTCGTCACGAAACATGGCAACGGCCAAGTTAAAAATTGGTGAGTTGGGTAGCAATGTGGATATGATGATATGTCTTGCTGATAGTCCTGGTACTCGTACAGCGGACTTTGGTTTTGCGCGAGAGTTGGAGTCCGAGATGATGGCTGAGAGTGTTGTGGGCTCGCCGCTATACATGGCGCCGGAGCTACTGGAGTACAAGGGTTATGATGCTAAAGCAGATTTGTGGTCAGTTGGCATCATCTTGTACGAGATGATTGCTAACGAACACCCGTTTCTTGTGGTGAACAAATGCCACGCGACTAACCACTTGGCACTGCGGCGGAACATCTATCGATACTTTGAGCATTATGGCCACGTTCGACTTCCGAAAAAGGTCACAGTATCTCCCGAGTGTGAACAGTTTGTGGAAGCGCTGTTGCGGGTCGATCCGCGCAAGCGAATGTCGTTTGATGACTTCTTCCGCGCGCCATTCTTGTTACCACCAGTTCCGGCAGATGCTGATGCAGACACAGATACTGCAGATTTGGACAGCTCCGAGACAAAGCAACCACTTGTTGCCGGAAACCAGCCCGAATACGGTACGTTGTTAGAAACCTCGAATCGATTCTTTAGCGTTGTTAACAGGACTGCCTTATCTGGGCATGTTTGCAGAGGACTGGGCGACCTGTAGCGACGAATACGTGATGGTGGAGAATGAGTATGAGGACGTTGGTCGGAAGGTTCTTGACGGTCAGGATCTGAACGTGAATCTAGATGAAAAGGTAGCATTGCAACGCAGCAAACTCGTTAAGAATCTCAAGACAGAAATACTAACATTCTTGTTGGCATTGTTTTACTGACAACACAGGTGCAACACCACACGAAAGAGCATGCACCAGACGCCGATGCAGACACCGCCATAGTGGATGGAAGCGTTGAGATTAGGGATATCGTGGTCGATACGTCATCTCCCCGAAACAGGACACCTGAATCCGTGATAGCGCCGGTGTCGATTGAGATCGACGAGGATACTAAAATGCCGGTACGCGAAGTAATCCCTGCAGCTAAGAATGATAATTGGTTGGTTGGCGAGCGCCGTCAGTGGGTGACCGACGATAACCGTCTCGAGGAATTGCTGGGTATTTGCTATAAGAGTTTCTCATGTGGTAGCGTGGCACTCTTCGTACCTACACCTTTTGGCGATTACATCGCATTCCACGAAGGATGCCCTCACTACTATTTGTCGGACGAATCTATTGCAGCATCTAAGAAAGACGACAGGTATGTTCAGCTTTATCGCATGAGACTCGTTGATCGTGCACGCATGAATTCACTTGTTGATTGTCCTAGAAACCCTCCGTATGTTCTTGGACACATCATCTACATCGAAGACCATGAAACTACGGATGTAAGGCTGATCCTGCTGTTTCCTTGGTTTGACACCAACGTGATTGTTTATTGTTGTCATACTTTTTGTACAGAAATTGAACCCGTTTTGCCTTCGTGAAGGAACCAAGTATCACGTGGTATCGGTAACACCTTTAGCAACGTCATCTCATGATGCAAACGGCAGCATTGGGACCGCGAATAATTCGTCCGTATCAGATGAGCTACCGCTCTCCCAGGTCCTGACTGGTCGTACAGTGGCAAGTGATGCCGAAGAAAGCGAAACTGTTGGTGAATTGCCGTCTGTAGAAGCCACTCATGGCCCAATCGAGCATCAGCGGATATCATTCCGTAGCTTTCAAATCAGTTCATTGGCGTTGTTTTTCCTGAAGGGGGGAAAACTACCGTATGTGGCTTTTAACGAGGGAGCTCCACACTATTATCTAGCAAACGAGTCGATCCAGGCAGCGATTTTGGGTGTGGGCAGTGATCGAACACCACCCGCTTACATTTGTGGTGAGATCATTTTCATTGATACTTTTCATGCGATTGAGGTATGTCATTTGTCGATTATTCTCGTCTCTTTGGTTTTCCTTGTAGCTGTTTCACACTAACGTCTACTGTCTTTTTACTAGGATTTTAACCCGTATCGTCTACCGTATGGAACTCGATTTCATGTTGTCACAGTTGCAAACCCCAAGAGAACGTAGCGAATATATACAGCAAAGTAAATGGGCTATGAAGTTGCAAAAGAAAAAGGCTGGGGGATACCGATTTTGCTATTTGTTTTCATATTTATATATAGTATTCTGAAGTAGAATAGGAGTGAGCTCTATCTTTAAAATAGGAAAGGGGACGCTATCGATACAAAGACTCGTACTACGTATAAATACTGGTACAACATGAGAACATGTACCGAAGCACCTATCATGTCGCACCAATGTCGTTCCACTGACAAAGTCCTCAAAACCTCTTTAAAAATGGGTCGTTCCGAGCCCGATCTGAGCTCGCGTCGCAAGCATCCCAAGAGCAAGAAAAAGCACACCAAGCGCAACCGTAATTACTCCAACTCGGACAGTGACTCTGAAGTTCGTGCAGAGCGTAAATCACGTAAAAAATCCGCAAAAATGCTGGCAAGTTTGGGCTATTCGGACGAAACGAACCCATTTGGAGACTCGAGTCTCAGCCAACCATTTGTATGGGGTAAAAAGTACGAGGCTCAAGGCACTAATAAACCTCCATCGGAGAAAGAAATCAAAAAGGCTCAAATTCGACGTATCGATGAGATTCGTAAAGCTCGGAAACGTCGTGATGAACGTGAAGCCGAAAAGGAAGAATTGGAACGTCTTCAGAGCGAAGAATTACGGTTAAAAGATGCCGAACAATATGACGATTGGCAACAAAAAGAAGAAGAATTTCACTTAAAACAGACCAAAGTTCGAAGCCAGTTACGGATTCGGGCAAACCGTGAAAAACCGGTAGATTTACTGGCGAAAAATTTGCTACTGGTATCGGCAAAAACAGACGACAAGGACGAAAAGGATGAGTTTTTCAAAAAAGAAATTGGGCACATTCGAGTCGAACATCGTCGACCTTATGCTATTCTAGAGGTTTTATCGCTGGAAGAGTTAGTGGGATTACAGGAGGATGTGCAGATGTATCAAGAATTGGAAGAAAGTGGAAATGGAGGACATAATGCTGAATTTTGGCAATTAATGACACTTGTGTGTAATGATCGAATTCGACGGTTAAAACGGTTGCAGAGTGAAGGACGAGCCGAGAGAGGAGCAATTCATGATGCTGTAAATGAAACAATTACAGGAATGCTAGAGGGGAAAACTACCGATGGATTGCAGGAATTACACGATCAAGTCAAAGAGACAATTGCTAGTGTATCAAAAGGAGCAACAGGAGTGGATGTAGACTTTTGGGAAGAAGTGGCACAGCAAGTTCAAGTGTATCAAGCTCGTGCACGACTCACGCAATTGCATGAAGAAATGCTTGAGAAATTGGCAGACCTTATGGAAGAGCACGAAAGACGCGCGGCTGAGGAAGCAGCCGCTCGTGTTCCTGAACACGAGATGCACGGTCTTGTGGATGAAAATGGATGTGATGCTGGACGTGAGGCGGTTGAGATGGAGAAATCATTTGCTCGTAAGGGTCTTGACGAAGAAGAAGAGCGACTTGATGCCTCTGAAGAGGTAGTACTTGCTGACTCGAAAGCAGCTCCACGCTGGAGTGAAAAGTACCAGCCACGCAAGCCGCGCTACTTCAATCGTGTCAAGACCGGCTACGACTGGAACAAGTACAACCAGACGCACTATGACCACGACAATCCTCCACCGAAGGTCGTACAGGGCTACAAGTTCAACCTCTTTTACCCCGACCTCATCGACAAGCACACGGCCCCACGCTTCTTCTTGGAGAAGGCCAACTCGGATGAGTTCTGCATTATTCGCTTTTCCGCAGGACCACCGTACCAAGACATCGCATTCAAGATCGTTAACCGCGAGTGGGAACACTCTGCTAAACGCGGGTTCAAGAGCGTATTCGAGCGTGGAATCTTGCACCTTTATTTCAACTTCAAACGCCACAGGTATCGTCGGTAGAAGGGTCTGGAAGTTGTCGTATCAACCTTCTTGGTTGTCATGGTGATGCAATGCGGCTACTCAATTATCAAGACTAAACTACGTATGTGTTGAATGGAGGTTGGTTTGATCTGAAAATGTGCCCTGTGAATCATTTTGTACTTTGTTGATAATGATTACGATGTTCATGTAGCTAACCACTTCGGAAGTATTTCTTTCCTCTTTCATTCAATACAGTCGCGTCGTCGACCCGCTTATGGACAAATATATACCACGCACTAGCACCTTGCTTTGCTCACCGCCGTCATTATCAGTATGTACGTCAGCTCAGCTCGCTGTGTGTCTGTCCGTCCGTCGTGTTGTGGCTTAAAGCTCAATGCGCTTACCACCGCTGCCGGTACTCGAGTTGCTCACTGTATCGCTAGTTTGGCGACTCTTGTAACTAGTGTTGCGATCGTATGACCCACGGCGAGCACGGCCGCGATTGCCACCCGTGAGCGACTGCCGAAGCGAGGAATTCCTCATGGCATCACTGCCACCGTTTTCGGTGCGGTCATACGAGCCACGACGGGTGCGGCCGTTTTCGACGTTACCTGTTATCGACTGCCGCAGACAAGAGTTGCGTCTGTTCTCGCCGTTGTTCGAAGACTCGGAGCGGTCGAATGAGCTTCGACGGGAGCGACCCTTCGACTTGCCTGTGCCGTTCATGTTTGCCTGTTTCGTTGCAGGCGCCATACCCGTAATTGACACACGCTGTTGCTGCTGCTTTGCATCCTCCAGTAAGTCCACTCCCAGTGTCACACTAAAGCTCACGCGATCGCTACTGTCCTCAGGTTCACCCTCTACGACAATTCCCATAACCTTGCCTGGTGCTTCGAGAGGACCGTCCTCACCCGTAGGCTGGCGAATGCCCGTGCTTTTGGAAGGCGCACCAACACAGGCATTTGCGGCAGGGGTACCAGAAGATGAACCCGTGCTGGACATCGACGACGAACGACGATCCCGGCCCTTAATTACCTCCGCAAACGAAAGACGCTCGCCAATCACCTCAGCCGTAGGCGATACAATAATAGCAGGTTCCTCTTCCGGGCCAGCGGTCGAGATTTCACGAATGTTCACCTTACGCGATGACTTGGAGCTCTCTTGGAATAATTTTTTAGTAGACAGTGAGTTGGCGCGCTTAATCGGAGTAGTCTGTGGCTGGCTAGAAGCCAAACTAGACTCCATGGGAGGAGCAGGCGGCTGCGGTGTTGACAATGACACGCGCGCGCTCACATCAGGCTCCGAGAGTTCAATGGCCTTGGACGGAACGGCAATCGTCTTGCTAATTGATACCTTAGGCTGCGACTGCTTCGAAGACAACGCCAGCTTTGTCAAGCGAGGAACCTCTTCGCGGTGCTTACGGCTCAACTCCGGGTCCTGACGAAGGATCAGACGAAGGCGTGCATTGGCCTTAGCCAACGCCATGTTCTCGCCCTGCAAGTGCTCCGTGTGCTGCTTCAAGTGATCCACAGTATGACGCAGTGCCTGACGCTCATTCAGCGCCTCGCTCAAAGATCCTTGCATTAGCGTGATCTTCTCCATCACACCTGCGTGCTGGGCCTTCAAATTGCGGTGACCCGTCTTGTAACGCGCTAGCTCGCTCTTCAGCGCCTCATTTTCGTCTTGCAGCTTCATCGCACGCTGGTTGGCGGCAGCAAAGGATGCACCGTTCACATAAGCACCACGCTCCATCACTTCCTTCTCCTTGCGAAGCTGCACTCCAAATGCTTTTAAGTTCGTGTTGGCCTCCTTAAGTGAGGCATTTTCACGACGAAGCTGGTCAATCACCAGGTCAGCATCCTCAAGGGCTTCCTCGCTACGCATGTGGACGGAAGCACGACTGCCATATTGCGCCTGCTGCTCCAACTCAATACGCGCTTCACGCTCCTGCTGTAGACGCTTCTTCAGCAACTGGATCTGGTTCTCCAATTTTGCGTCTTCCTTCGCCTGCTTTTGCAGAACTGAGAATGCCTTGGTAGCCAAATACATACGCACAACGCTTTGCATCGTGCGAATCGCCTTCACCTTCACCAGGTACTTACGACGAGAAACAAACATCTTGCAAACATTCTGAATCTGCGTAGCACGGTACACCTCGCGCATGCGCACCAGTAGCTGCTGTGCACGATGCCGACGAACATACTTCTGCACACTGACAGCAGCCTTGCGCTGCTTCTTGTACTGAACTGCAGCACGGTGGCCACGGTACACCTTTTGGGCCACAACAGCTGCCTCTTTCACTCTTTGGAACATCGCCATGGCCATCCACTTCTGGGCGTATCGCTGCAATACGACAGCGGCGGAGTTGAACCTGCGCGTGCGCAATTCCTCGAGAGCCTCGAGGGCACCCTGTCGGAAGAACACTCGTGTTTTACCAACCTGGTACTCGTTTTCCTTGCCCGGCATCAAGTGGTTCACAAGCAGCTCGCGAACGGCGGCAGCCGTCTTGGCCCCATCGGTTGGGTTCTCGTCCGCTGTAGCGGTGAGCACGGAAAGCGCAGAGGTCTCACCGTCGATTGTCGTCGTAGAAGCCACGCCGCGAAAACGTTCGAGGAACATCGTCTGTTGCACACGGTTGGGGTACGCCATTCGACTAATACGGACGGCCTCCACGACACCAGCACACTGCAACTGCTCCGTCACACGCAGTTTGTTGAAAACCTGCGAGCTCTTTTTGCCGTTGGGCTTAATGCAACGAATGTAGTGCACATTAGTACGACGGATGTCCTCCATAAGACCATTCAGCTGGCTCTTAAACTGAGTGCCAACCGTGTCGGCCACAATCGAGTTTTTACGCTTGAGACCAGGACCCCGTCCACGTAATGCCGCATTTGTTCCCGGAATACCGGTCATTGCATCGCCCACATGCTCATCAGGGAACAGCTTCTTGAGGAACGGTGCCTTCGACTTCTTAATAAGAAGAATAAGGTCGTTCTGCAGTGCATCCGTATTCTTGATCAGGAAGCCGTTCGTGTCGTACTGAACGGGACCGGCATAGTGCTTGATGACGAAAGCATCGCGTGCGAAACGCGGGCACTCGAAACGATCGTTGTCGCTATAGTGTGCCTTCAGCTTGTTAGCAAACGCAGCATCGCTACCCTTTGGGCGCATACACTCTTCATTCAGCAACGACAGCACACCAAAACGACCTTCAAGCAGTGATAAGACGTTGACATTGTCAGCAAACTCAATACGAGTCCAGGGAATGCCCTCGTCCTCGTATTCCTGCTGGATTGACTTAAACACATCCTGTGTGAACTTCTGCTGAAGTTTTTCATTGGCGTAGTTGATACACAATTGTTCAAACGAGTTCTTCTCAAAAATCTCAAAGCCAAAAATATCAAGGATGCAAATATTGTGCGCCACATCTGCGTGCGAAGCACTTGTTGACATGTTTACGCGGTGAATCAGCCACGAAAACATGTGCGAGTACAGAGCAACGCCTAGAGCAGTACGTGCTCCATCTGCTTGTGAAACATTCAGTGGCACCTCGTACGTTTCCATGACGGCCGTCATCTCACGCGTACAGAGCGCAATATGCAACTGATTGTCATCAAGTTCCAGTAATTGCGACACGAGCTCAATTGCATGCTGGTTCTCCGGTGTGCTTGTCAATTGAGATGCATCATCATTATCAGGTGTCGGCTCGAATTGCAATCGGGACAAGTGCAAAATAGCTGCTACAATCTTAAAAATACTCATTTGATCCTCTTGTGACACACCCATGGTCTCCAAACACGACACTGTCTGCTGGAAACGCTCAGCATCTTTCATACCAGCACTAACATCAATTCCATTGGTTACATCTTCCTCATGTGGCTTGATAAATGGAAAATCCTTGGCTTCCATGTTCGTAACCTTAACTTCCGTCGTCACATCCGTAGGAGCAGCTAGTAATTGGTAGAAAATATGGTAATTACGTTCACCTAATCCTTGCAGTGACACCCGTGACTTTTCAAGTAAATACGTGCGGGAACGTGCCCCAATGAGCTGTCCCAGGGTATCAAACTGAAGCTCCGAATATTTGCCAAACCGACTCGAATTGTCGTTACGTGATGTCTTGGCATTACCAAAAGATTCCATCAGTGGATTTGCATCCAATACACGATCAATAATGCTTGCTTCTTTTACTTGTGCATCCGAAGTGGATTGACTACCAGCTGATGCCAAGTGAGACATTAAAATCTTGGTTGTTTCAGTTTTTCCCGCGCCAGATTCACCACTTACGAGAATACTTTGATCTTCTTCAAATAAACGCATATGTTGAAAAGCTCCGGCACTTGTGGCGTAAACATGTGGTGGTAATTCATTCCGATCACGGTCGAGATATTGTTCTTGAAGTTCTTTCGTATAGATATTGAGCCAGGAATACTGGAAGAAAAAAGAAGGGACAAGGTGTCACATATTAGTAGGGGTAGGACTCACACGACCAAAAAACAGTTACAACAAATGGGATAGAAAACGTACAGGATTAACGGCAATACAAATAGCACCAGTGTAGGTATAGGGGATTTGTCTCAGGAAACGATGCTTCAAATTGAATAGAATGGCTGGTTCGTGGAGGTAATTAAGGCTCACCATATCAGCACATCCGTCTTCAGATACAAGTGTATTTTGTAGTAACATTGTAGATTTCTATACTCAAAAAAAACCATATTGTAAACAAAATATATAAGTACAAATGGGTACATTTCAAAGTAACAGATGATTACACAAAACGTACGTCGATTTTACGGATTAAACCAGCCTCAGGCTGCTTCTCGGCGCATTCTTCAGTCAAGTCGCCTTCGATCATCACCTCGACAGTGGTCTCGCTTACAACGTGGCCCTTAGTGATAGAGGCCTCTACCCAGCTCACGCCCGTATCCGGTACATAAATCTAGTGGTTGCAGAAGAGGGGAAAGAGAGAGAGAGGGGAGGGTCATTAGCATAATATTCACTTAAAGCGACAGGGGGAGGTTGACTGATAAAAGTGGAAGCCATGATGAGAGGCGTACCTTCGTTTGTTGGTCTTCCATAATAACAGACTAGAGTGAGGAAAAAGAAGGGGTGTAGGGGGAATTGGCTGGCCTTGCTTGAGCTCTCTGTGGGACTGCCGAGCTCCGTTGTCCTCCCCGCAAAAGTAGCTATGGTCGGTAAGAATTGCAAAACCACGCGGGTAGACGGTTTACCTTCCCCTAGACTCGCCCCTGCTGTCGCTCTTCGAGGAAAGAAAACCTAGTCCCTGTGAAAACCGATTATCTAATTTGTCGCTCTTCTGCCACGAATATGGTTTCACTTGGATTTGGTATGTCCACAGAAAGATGTGCGCGCATGTTTCTACCACATGCAGCAAATTTGCAAAATACGGTGCAAGAATTTAACAAAAGAGGTCACGAGGGACAGCGAAGACAGGTGCCCACTTCAAGGAATAGGATCGCTGCCCATCACCGCAAGCCATATCTGCTTTTTGCAGAAGGTATCAGTTCATACGGGCTTTGCGTGTCGCACACAAAGGAAGCCATCTTAGTGGTCAGACCCGGAGCCATCTCTGCCATCGGACGGTCAATAGAGGCAGCGAATTTTTGTTAACGGTGACGGGCTTCTCCAATAAGCGGAGTTGCAAAATGCTGGTTGTACTTGAAGTGGCGACACTTGGGAGGATCCCCTTGTAAGTGCAGCCGCTGACATGAATCAGGCCAGAAATCTGGTGAGCTGTCTGAAATTTGGATTAAAATGTGTTGTAGATTGTCTTATACAAAAGGCAAAGAAGGTGGCACTGTAAGTTTACAACCGCTCTGCTCTGTTCAGAATCCGACGGCTGCAAATCAGTCTGTACCGGTAGTTGCACCTTGCAGTGATCATCCTCACGCCTAAGAATAGGCCATTTTACAGACATTCTAACAGTAATTTGGTCAGCCGTGATATGGGCTCCTCTTACAGCATATGCAAATTTTTCGTTACTAGTGTATACCTCCAACTACCAACGTGAGTCAATAAGAGCAGCATAGTTGCGTGGGCAACGGCTTCGGCCGAGGTCTTGAGTGTCGGAACATTCTCGAAAAATTTGTGTATAGCGCGGTGCCTGCTTGATGCGGCTGCGCAAAGGAAGAAGGAGTCAAACGTATCCATTAGTTTTGTGCAAAGCATGAACGTACATGGCTACCATCGAGGCAATAGAGCGGCCACTTCTTATGCTCCGCGTTTGTAAGCGTTATGAGCCGAGCCTACCGTTTCAAATAGTCGCTAGCTTAACGTTTGTAGCGAACGCCGAAGCAGCCAAGCAGCAACTTGGAACCTGCAAGACTCGCACGCCTTAGTCTCTTTGTGCTACAACCGGTTAGAGTGAGGCCACCAAGGAGAGATCAGACTCCAGTCCAGACCTTGCAGGAAAAAAGTGTCAGCAAAAGGTCCAGAGAGCGTCCAAGACGTTGAAAGTCCGTCGATCTCGTTCGCGGCGTCCAGTTGCTTTTCAGTTTTGTTCACTCTCTTTTACGAAAAATTGTGCGAAGTGTGCAAGCGCATGAGAGGGGCGCGGGAGAGTAAGTCACTAGCGTTACCAGGAATTATTGTATTAATCTGGTCTAATACAGCATTTTATACAAGCGGATCACTGTCGTTAGCGAGCGAAACATTCGGCGTTAAGTACAAAGGCCACGTGAAGTTTCACAAGATTCAATTGCCGTCCACCCCATCAAGACTTTTGGTAAGTAAACGACCGCATCGTCACGGCATGGCTGCACAAAGTATGATACATGTATCGTGGCTTGTGCGATCAATGATGCAAAGCTTTATACAAATAAGCCATTATTCGATCAATCGTGATGAAAATGTGTAATCTATTCCCCCCATAATAGATGTGTAATATATCTCCCTCGTAATATATTACACATCTTCATCACAATTAATAACCTCTACGATCGCATACTATTGTAATAAACAAATAAAATCAATCAATCACTCCTTCTTCCTCCCTCTCATACCATATAGCATCCAGCGGTGATTCCCGCTCGTGTACGACTTTTTGACACCCTTGGGACACCGGGTATTCCCGACCTCTTGGCAGGCTAACGTGCAAAATTTAATTCTTCGACCTCTCCATATCAAAGTGACGGGTGCAGTGCTTGCGTACCACACGCAGCGTGGCCTTTAATAAACGCACGACCTCATGGGTGAATCTCGGACGAATAGAGAAGTTGCAACAACATGTATTAAGGTTGCTGCAGAGTTGCGATGATGGTCGCGCACTAAATGCCCGCTCGGAATAAAAAGCAGTCTACCAGGGTAAAATTCTGAAAATGATATTCATATATGCTGTATGAATAGTACTATATAAGAAACTCGTATTTCATGTTTAGAAGGAGGTATTAAACTCTAGCCGTAAATATATTACGCGACTACTATTTATCAGAACACTAAAATATATGGATTTATTCTTAGCTATTAATTTCTTGTGACAGGCTTATGACATCATGTAAGATTCCCAGTGATAAGTGAGATAATGTATAGTAAGGCGTCGGTACACAAGTCGTCACCTGAACTTGCCATGGAGTATTCTACCATTGTGGTAGTCATACAATTTGTGTTTTTACTACTAATATATAAATGTATTTTACTTACCAATTGCGTATTTATTTGAGATTTTATTTGGAGTAACTACTGTATTATATTAGTTATATAATCTATAATTAGAAGGCGCTAAATCATCCCCCACCTTTTTGCTTGCCACCCCCCCCCCCCTTAAATAATTAAAATAAATTGATTGGTCAGGATGCCAAATTGTGTCCTAAGGACAAGAAGGATTGCTACTATTCTGCTGTAAAAGCGCGCCCTTGCAGATGTGCAGAATTATGGACGAAGGGCTCGAGGGGGGGGGGCGGGTACTCCATTGGCAACCGATGTTGTCAAGAAGCGCCTCGGCCAGAAAGCGGTAACCAATATGCACGAAAAGACGATTACTAATGCGCGACGTGACATTTATTAATGCGCGACTATACGATCAGTAATGTGCAATATGTAGTCGAAGAATGCGGTAGGCTTAGAGCAGCAATATAAGTATGCGAACTAGGGACCTTTTAACAAAGCTACACAGCTCTGTAATTAGAGAAAGACTCTAGAGGCCAAAAGTGTAATGGGCCACATTACACACATAACATTAACATAAATAAACAATTATATGTAGGCAGGTGCTGTGCTCGAATAGCGGTGGCAATGTATTGTTGGTCTATCATTAAAGCCTAAAGTCCCAATATGGACCAATGATAAATCAACCTGAAATTGTGTGGTTCCCGAAAAGCGGGAGCACTGTCGTATTTATTGCGACTTAAAAATCTTTGTAATTAGTACGAATTATTACACAAATAAAAATCAGAGCTAACAGTATTTAATACATAATACTTGGGCTTGAGTCTTCCTCAAGCGCACGTGTGGCTAGTGACGGTACGTTCTACCCCCGCTACACCTGATAGCTTTCTGTAGTCCTTCCTATGTCCGAGCTTGGGACGAGCGAATCGTCGTACTTTGACGCTCCAGATTTATTGCTGGGGCACGCGATCTTCCCCCATCTCAATGGTGTTTAAGTAGATACCCTTGATCGCCTTGCGGCGACATTGGGAGGGCATTCGTCGCGTCGCTGATGAGATCAGCGAATCGTGATGGACAACGTCTCGCCATACATGAGTTTATGGCACGCGAGCTTACCGAATCCAATCGGCGAGGTTTAACTCCCTCGCGACCTTAACGGAATGATGCCATGAAGATGGAAACCTTCTCCTACTCAGGAGAATAAGAACCGTTTGTCGCTGAATCGGTGGTTTCGAGAAGTTGATATCGCCATCGCCTCGAGACTTCTTGAGGCACCCGAGCGAAGGTCCTCTTCCTTGGCTTTTCCACCTCATTGGAAAAGCCAAGGAGTGGGTCCAATGTAAGCTCATTGTGGACGAGCACGCGTTCCCCACCCTGGATACCATCCAGGACGATCTTCGTCTTGCTTTCGAGCCACCGCAAGAGGAGAAATTGGTACGCTCAAGATTCCTGTCGAAGCTACAGGGTAAAATAGCGATGCGTGACTACGTGCAGATGGCTAGGCATATGGGGCCGTGTATTATCACGCATCCATGGACATGTACACGCAGGTGAATGTCTTTGTGGATGGTATGCGTAAGGGGCAGACCCGCTTATCGCTCGATCGCGCGGAGCCTTATACATTGGAGGAGGCATTGGCTATTGCCCTCCGTGTACAAAGGCCTATGCTAAACCCTCGGTCGTCACCGTTCCTCGGCCTTCTGGTTCAGAACCTATGGAGATCGACGTGATTGAGTCGTCGGGTGACCGACGACGTGAATTCCTCATAAGGGTGACGCTCGTACCGGGCGTCAAATGGTTTGCTTTCGTTGTCGCAAGCCCGGCTGATTACCGTACGCCAGCGCCGATATCGGTGCAAGTAGTGGACGCCCATCATGGGGTTGCTGTTTTACCGGCCGCACGTCCAAATAACAGTCGGCACCAGTAGGTGCAGGGCACCCTACTGATTGGAATGGAGACCCGGGTCCCCCGGTGGCAGCTCAATTTTTTAGTCCTCCTACGCTGCGCGCAAGATCAAATGCCACCACTACGAGTGGTGATTCAAGTTTGATTATTGTCAGTTTACATGTCGCCAGCGTCCGACGACCTCTGCGAGCACTCCTGGACTCAGGAGCAACGAATAATTTCTTTCGTAAATCTTGTTTATCAATGCTGCCTTCCATCATTCAGGTCCATGAGGGACCTACCCAAGTCGTCGTCAAGTTACCTTATGGGAATTCACACCGCGTATCGCGGCGCGAAGTGTCGTTGCCGTACAAGTTTGACGGTTTCCGCAGTATTGATGATTTCATGGTGATCACGATGAATTATGCATTCGATTGCATACTGGGCATGCCACGGTTGGCACGCAATAAGCCCCAGATCGACTGGTTAGCTAGACCAGTGATACGTCGACGCAAGTTCGATGTCAGTGAAGTGTTTACCCATCTCTTGGTGTCTCCAAGTGACTGGATGA